CATACTCCAAAGTCAACTGCAGACTTATCAGGACTATTTTTACATGCACATACATATCTCATGTACACCATAAGCAGGTTTATTTCTCTATAATTATCCCTATATTTCTCTAGGCCAAGAAAAATCTCTTCAAGATTACTTATTTAAATTAAAGGTAATATTTGGAGAAATCACATTAGACTTCAATCAATGTTAGTTTCAGAGGGCTAAAAAAGGCACTGGATGAATTATTTAAAAACAAGAGGCAAATAAATTTACCAATGACACAGTCATTATTCTTGGAGATATGACCTCAAAAACAAGCATGAAATGTGTTATAATAAGCATTTTAAAGTTCATTTTAAAGAACAATATGAAATCAATTACCTATAGGATGAAAGAAATTGCTAACTTGATGTTTATAGAATGGATAATTTGAAGCATTTGATTTTTTATACATGAGTAAAACATTACTGTTTCTCAAAAAAGTAACTTTCTTTCAAATAATAAGCTGACAAGTTTCTAAAAACTGGTGTCTCAAAATGTCAAAGATAAATGTGAAAATAATGACTAGAACTCATGAGTAGAAAAAAGTTAATATATTATTTCATATAATTAAAATATGCATGTTGCCCAGGTGTGGCTCACTGGTTGAGCGTCCACCCATGCACCAAGAGGTCGCCGATTCGATTCCTGGTCAGGGCACATGCCCAGGGTGTAGGCCCAGTCCCCAGTGAGTAGCATGCAGGAGGTGGCCAATTGATGTTCTCTCATCAATGTTTCTATGTCTCTCTCTCAAATCAATAAAGATAAAATATTTATAAATTTTTTTAATCCTCACCCGAGGACATACTTGCATGTGTCCTCAGACAGAGTGGGAGGGAAAGGGGGAGGAGAGAAAGAGAGAGAGAGACATCAGTGTGAGAGACACATCAAGTGGTTTCCACCAACACGACCCCAACCGGGGCCAGGGACAAACCGCAACCGAGGTATGTGCCCTTAGCGCAAACCGAACCCGGGACTCTCCCGTCCACAGGCCGACGCTCTAACCGCTGAGCCAAACGGGTCAAGGCAAGACAAAATATTTTTTAAAAAAGAATCAAGATATGCATGTTTATTTCATCTCTAAACTATAATCTATACGTTCAAATCTAAACAAACTTGTGTTTTTACAATTACTTTATAGGATATTTTAGAAAACATCCATCACCACCCCTCCTCAAATAAAAGAAATCAAGGATTCTCAGCCCAGCACAACTGGCATTTGAGGCCTCATGATTCTTGTTTTGAAGACTGTCCTGGCCAACTAGATACCACGCTGCCCCCTCCCCCCAGGTTGTGAAACAAAAACATCTCATTGTCAAATGTCCTGAGGGCGTAAGCCCTGCAGCTGAGAACCACTGCACCAGACAAACGCTTTCTCAAACATCTCCAGTTAAGTAACTTCCACATTTTTATGTCCCACTTTGTTTCTATCTAAAATCTAGTTAAAATCTAGGTTCCTCCCTGGAGAAAACAGTTGGTTACTATTACCATTACCCATCTACTTCTCCATTAAAATTCATAAAAATAAGAAATTTTAGATAGCTATTATGTACAAGGTGTTACTGAGGAATAACACTGTAAAATATACATTTATCAAAATAAAGGAAGAAGGTTCATAGAACCAAATCCATAAAAAATATAGCAGTTGAAATCAACTTTCATCAGAATGGAAATAGTAGATAAGTATAACTATGCTGTTAGCACTTGCCTACATTCTGATTTTTTCATTTTGCTCAAGCTTTCCTTCTCTAAGACAAACAGATCTTTTCTTATCTGCAAAAAAAGCAATTTAAATTACTAGTTCTAATGAAGGCAAGCATAAATATGGTCAACAGTGATAACTTGATCTGAGAGTACATCTAATTTTTTTGCCATCATCTGGATATGAATCCAGACGCGAAATTAATTGATAGTTCTTGACTCTCTAGTAGAGAAAAAAGAGATAAATATAAAATTACCTGAAGAATCTGGACCAACGTTATATATTCATTAAGAATAACTGAATGTGAATAATTTTTTCAAACATTTTATCATGTGCTAATGTAATCTGTTTATATCCAAACATAACAAAATACAAAACAGAATGCAAAACTCTCATTTTATAGTTTATACATTAAAAAGAATTTCTTTATTAAACCTGTTACAGTAGGATCCATTTTTAAATATAAGTACAAAAGAATTCTAGGATTGTCACCAAAAATGTAATCAATGAGCAATGGTATTTTAAGTTATTTCCCTTTATATCTCCAAATTCTTAAAAATTTTTTAACAATAAATATGTGTGTTTTTTAAAAATCTTTAGCATATTCTTTTAGGACTCCCCCTTTCCACCAATTTTATCACAGGTTATGGCCCATCAACTTGGATTCTTGAACAACTGCTGACATTAATTGGTTTCCTGGGATTATTTCAAATTACCCTGAACTTTTCCTACACTAATTTTTGTTAAAGGCATTTCCTATTAACCAAAGTTAAAATGTGACCTTTGAAAATTTTGATTTCAGATGAAAATTATGCATAAAAGACAACTATCTTATAATTAGATCCTCAAGTTAGAAAGTGAATACTCTGTGCCACGTACGACAGATGATAGCTCTTACCCTTTTATTTCCTGGTTTCACAAAAACTGTCCAATTTCTTTTTAAAAGAATACATGTATACATTTTAAATATGGCATTCCATATTCAGTAAAAATCAATTCAGATTTTAATTACTGTGGAATTTTGACAATTCTAGCAATGGCGAAGATGAATTGTGTATCACTGTTATATAGCAAAAAGCAAATAACATTATAAGATTCCAAAGATTTAACCTGGTAAAAACGAGAATATATTTCAATCAAGAACATATCATCTAAGAAAATAGTATTGCTATCTAGTCATAGGAGTTTCTCATTACATTTCTGCATGTTTAGAATAAATGTAGCATTCACATAATACTATAGTCCATGAAAAGAGTATATTCTTTTATTGTTTTTGTTCATACATGTTAAGTTTCAACCTTCAATCATAAAATTCAATAAATTTGATTCCTTAATCATAAAAACTTGCTTTACACATTATTTACATGTCACTAAAATCGACAGCCATACAAAACATCACAAGGATTTGACTTAACGGTACCATCACACAAGAGGAGGGAGCTATCAAGTAACATACATTCAAAGATTAATTTGTAGATATGCACAGTGTATTTGGCACTGTTTATTAAAATACCTCCCTCTCTTAAGTCAGGAATTATTAAACCTTAGTCACAATATACTACAATTTGCTATTCACATCAAAACCAGCCTTTAAACTTTGTAACAGTGATAATCACTTTTAAGAAACCAAACCAAACCGGAATTGGGACTGGAATTCAAACCCTCTGACTTCTTGCTATGCTCCGAGTTGCCATCTAAATTGTAGGTTTAATTTGATAATTTCTCCATTATGGGGAGTGTCAAGAAGAAACAATATAAAGACAACATCATTCAATCATAAAGACAGACATTTTTCTTTAAAATTATCAATTCTTCTGGGAGTGCAAAGAGAGCCCTAATAATGCGTAACTAGTGATAATTTGGCAGGGATTACAGAATGACTAATGCCATTCAAGTTGTGGAGGTCGTACTAGTAGTTGAACTTGCGAAGGATCTGGAATGCCTATATATGAATTCAGAATCCTTAGCAACTTGTTTTAAAGGTCTCTTCCTAGGTCTATAATAGACTCAGGATACAGGTTACAGATTCACTCTGAGGTGTAACACTACACTGCTATAAAATGGATGAAAAAAAAATTAAAAGTCAACTATTAAATCTTAAGCAACTTTGGCTATATCCCAGTGGGTAATTTATTTGACTAACTTCATTTTAACAAATATTTAATCCCTTCACTTCAACTGGGCCCATTAAATTTAATTCATTAAAGCAATACATATTCTAGAATGTTTAAAAATGACACTTTTATAAAAGGCATAAATTGATCTTAAACTAAGGCAAAAAAAAAAAAAAAGCCTCAATAGGAAATGAATCACAGTACAGGGGAACAGAAATAAAAAATTCTCTGGTAAAGTTTAGAGAAATGCTGTAGCTTCACATACAACTTTTAGCAATAAACTGACTTTTAAAAAAGTCTTACAAAGAACTATGAAGTGCAAAGTAAGATCACTAAACGAAAATTTAGTTTAACCATTTTATTTCAAGTATATTTTTAAAATCATAAATGGAGTTTTGTAATCCAAAGTTTAAACATTTATTCTTCATACCTTCAGAATCTGACAAGCAATTCCAGACCTCTTTCCAAATCTAGTCTCCTCTGAGACCTATTATTTAAACTTCTCCATTCTAAACATATAATTTTAGACAACTATTATACACCTGTTGATAAGATTTCTCTGAAAACAATCCATCAAATATAAAGAATGGTTTCTGTCCAAGGATCAGCAGTGAGGAAAGAAATATTAAACATCTATCAAAAAATCATTTATTCATTAAAAAAAAATAACAGAACCAGTGCAGTTCTCTGTCATGAAAGAGAACATGTAAAATGAATGTACTTTTGTAGACTTTGGTAATGTTTCATTACCTACACAGGCCTCAGTCTTACTTAAAGATCTTTTATGCAAAGTCACCATCAGGATTTACAGACTAAAAAATCCTGAGTACTAACATGGTCCTACCTGTGCTATTCCCATGAGGAACAGGCTACTTTTCGGGTAAAGAGCTGCCTTGTAATTGCCCTCATATGCTTATTTAAACATAGTTAATGGAAATATATTTTAAAAGTAACTTTGGATACTGTGTAGCACACTATCTGTGAAAAAACAAAAATCCAACTCTACTGGTGTGGCTCAGTGGTTGAGCGTCGACCCATGCACCAAGAGGTCGCCAGTTAGTCCCGGTCAGGGCACATGCCTAGGTTGTGGGCCCAATCCCCAGTGGGGGCATGCAGGAGGCGACCAACTGATGTTCTCTCTCATCGGATGTTTCCATCTCTCTTCCCCCTCCCTTCTTCTCTGAAAACCAATAAAGGAAAAAAAAATTAAAAACAAAAAAACCAAAATCCAAACTTTCTTTCCTTTTTCATGAAACTTTCCACCTTTACTTTTCAGATTACAAATTCTTCACCCTTTTTTTGGACTGCCCAAAACTGCCTAATACATGTTTTTAAAATTCTGCATTTCAATGTAAGAGTTCTTTTTCAAGTGATTTTCACAACCCAGAACAAAGACACCGGATCAACACTCTCCAGTCACATTGTTTGACAATAATGATGAGATGAAAATGGACGGATAGATGAAAACAGGTATTCCTTCTGCTTCAACGGTGGGCAAGGTTTTAACCTGTAAGCAATAAAGAACTCCATTCCTCTGGAAATCCCTCACACTCAAATGCTTCCATTTAATAAATCAATATATTACTCATAAAAATTAAAGTTTGGTCACCAGGAAAGACTGAGGAAAAAAAAAGTATTCCCTTCCCTCCCCAAACAACAATCTAACAGCTCTAAGCATCCACTCATCTCCCTACAAAACAGGAAAGTAGCTGGGGCCGAAGCCTTTAAAACTGAAATGTCAGTTCTTATAACATGACTGCTATTTGCTCAAAGGTGCAAGTCCATGTATTTCCTTCTTCAATACTTCCCATTTATGCTTATTTCCACACACACACACACACACGCACACGCGTACACACACACACATACTCACACATACTTACTCTCAAGTAAGACACTTTTTTGTTTGTTGATAAATTATGAGGATTATGAACTAGTTTTGTATAGGGTTTCATAGGTGCTTTGTAAACATCAGTCACTGGGTCCTTTTCTCCAAAAGCCTGAAATCAGTCATGCATCCAGGGACCGTTACTTTCCCAGACGCTGTTCACACGCTGCATACTGACGAAGGGCAGAGAGAAAGTCCTCATAGCTGATGTTCAGGTGGGAAGGCAAAGAGCTGAAAAGGAAGCACAGAGGGAAAAAGCAATTAGATGATATACTGTGATATGGAGGGGGGAAACCAGAAGGGTAATGACCAAAAAGAGGTTAAGGACAGAACAAAACAAACCATTTCTACTAAATGATCATGAACTGTGAAACAGTTCAAGTATAAAACAACCTCTGTTTCCACAAGAAAAGCAACTTGTAATGAAATAGAGATTCAGAACCTCTGAAAGCATAAGTTGGATTAATGTAAAACTGGAGATCTATTTACAAAGGACTTCATTGAAATTCACTTCAGGAACTCGTCTGTCAGAGTGAAGTCAGCACTACCTGACGGTTTATGAAAGCCAGGCTTAGCATCCATCGGCAGAGCGGCACAGCACCCCTGCGTGACGACGCACTGAAGCCACGTGGTGGGCAACCACAGACGAACACTATTTATCTCCACCATTTCCAACTGCTCAAGGGACAACTGCAGTGTGAAGACAAAGACTTTAAAGACAGAGTAAACCTACAAATGGAGGGTTCCCCTTTAAGTATTTTATAATTATTATTTTTTAATCCTCACCCGAGGATATGTTTTATTGATTATTTTAGAGATAGGAAGGGAGAGATAGAGAGAGAAACATCAGTCGGATGTCTCTCATACATACCCTGACAGGGAATCGAACCCTTTGGTGTACGGGACGATGCTCCAACCAACTGACCCACCCAGCCGTATATCCCCGTTAAGCATTTTATACACTTACATAATTTTTAATAATTAACATTTGTTTAAAATCTCTACTTTATATAGCTTAAAATTCCAAACAGTGTATCAGAGCCAAACACCTGGTTATTGTACAAGGGCCACATTCAGAATTCTAGTCACATGCACCACAAGAAAGGAATCGTCAAGCCCACCGTCAATGACCCTGCCTGCCTGCCCCTGTGGCTCTTTCACTACACTTTATCCTTCCTCCCCAACCCCAGCTTCACTGAGCTAAACTGACATACTCTTTATTCTTCCTTTGACTGCCAAGAATTCTGAAACAAGGCACCCACTTCCTTTCCTTCATCTCTTAATAATCTCTGCTATCAACCTTTTATCTTACTCGCTTTACTGAAATGATATCCTCAAAGGACAAATTTGATGACATTCTTTTTGCGAAAGCCTGCCTCAGATGTCCTCCTCAAACTATCCATCTTCCTAAGTCTTCCTAATTTTACCCCTCATCAGCAGCTCAGCCCCCGTCGCCCCTCAAGGCACTCCTGCTACCACCCTCAGAGCCGCAGAAGTCATCGTGCTATGTCCTGGTCGGCTTTGTCAGGGCCCCGCCTTTCCTCTCCATAGTACGGTTAAGACATTCTCCTCCCATCAGGGTGCTTGCAGTGTGGTGGACAGTAGACAAATACAGAGCAAACCTCAATATAACACAGAGCTATGAGAGACATACATACAAAGACCCACGAGAAAACCAGTTACGTGCTAGGTATCTGATGTCCATATCAGATTTAAATTCTCAACTCTGTTTAACTGCCCAGTTTATGAATACAGAGAAGTTTAAATAGCTTTCCAAAGTCATGTTATTGAGCTGAATAGCAAGGATTCAAACCAAGATCTGTTTTAAATCACACTTTCCCCTCTAAACTACTCCCAACATCACAAAGTGCCACTGCTACCTTTCTTGGATCCCACCTGAAAGGCACCCAAAAGGACCTGGAAAGCTCTAGAGAAAAAGAAACGAGAAATACACACCACCATAATGAAACCCTCAGACCGGAGACCTGAGTTCTAATTTCACTTTGTCACAGCCTGAGCAATGTCTCCTCCCCACCTTCCTCATCTATAAAGTGAAGAGGAAGCATCAGATACAGCCCTTTCTGACTCGAACATACTGCATGCTCTTTTCTGCTTCTTTATTTGACATCTTTTTCCCCTTCAGTCCCCAAGCTTGAAGCATCTGACCCCTTGGTACTGTGCTCCTCTATGTACACTTTAAAGAGGTCCTCTATTCTCACAGGTGAACTCACTACTTCTACTTTCAAGATACTGACTCCCCAGATGTTCATCTTTTAGCCTTGACTTCTAATCCAAACACCAACTCTGCATTTTTTTTGCCCTCCTATGTTTCCATCTAAACAGACTATAGCTTCAAAATTATCTTATTCCTGAACTCAACATCTTCCCTTCAAAAATCAATGCTCCCTTTATTTTACTTTTCCATTTCCCTGGCTGGTTTGGCTCAGCAGTTAGAACATCGGTCTGTGGTCCAGAGACATCTGGGTTCAATTCCCACTAAGGGCATGTACCTGGTTGCAGTTTGTCCCCGGCCCTGGTTGGGTTGTGTGGGTGGCAGCCACTCGATGTGTCCCTTTCACGTTGATGTTTCTCTCTTTCTTTCTCTTCCTCTTTCCCTCCCACTCTATCTGAACAAAAAATGTCCTCGGGTGAGGATGAAAAAAACAAAACAAAAAACCTTGAAGGAGTAATTTCATTTATATTCTAACTTTATAAAATTAGTAACGTGCAAGGCCTGAATTTATATTGTCAGTTACTTCTCATGAGGGATAAAATTTGTAGTATTTTCCTCCTAAAACCCAGAATTTAAATATATATATATTTATTTATTTATTTTACTTTATTGATTTTTAGTGAGAGAGGAAGGGAGAGGGAGAGATAGAAACATCAATTGGCTTCTTCCTGCATGCCCTCCATTGGGGATTTGGCCCACAAGCCAGGCATGTGCCCCGATTGGGAATTGAACTGGCGACATCTTGGTGCATGGGTTGACGCTCAACCACTAACCCACACTGGCCAGGCCAGAATTTAAATATATTTTAAGGCTCTTAAGTCTCTCCTTTATTTTAAATCAGCCCAGGAGCCAGCCAGCTAGTTTTGTAAATAAAGTTTCATTAGAACACGGTCACACACATTTGTTCAAATGTTGCCTGTGGTTGCTAAGGCATACTAGCCAATGTTGAGTAGTTGCAACAGAGGAGTTGTTGCAAGGCCTAAATTATTTATGATCTGTCCCTTTATACAAAAAGCTTGCCAAACTGTTCGAAATAAGCAACTACATTCTCATCACTGTGTTCTCCCCTAAATTATAGCTACGGCCTCTTCACTTGTGTTTTTACCTCATCCTTTCCCAAATCCAATATACTCTACTCCACAGTTACCAAACAAATCTTCCAAGATCATCATTCCCGCATTATCCACAAGCTCAACAGTTTCATTCTGCCTGCCCAAACAATTATATGCATTCCTTATGCTAGTATTTAAAGCGTTTCCAATGTCTACACTCCCAAATTATTTGATTTCACCTCACACTACTATCTAACACTAACTCCTGCTCTGGTGTGGCCAGTTCCCTCACAGTATTCTAAAATGTGAGGTTCATTCCCCTACACCCCAGCTTTTCCTTTTTTCCCTGTTCATCCTCTGCACCTCTCATATTTTCTTGTTATAAAAATTCTACCCATTTTACATATTACAGATCAAATCACAACGTTTCTATAAACCCAACAACTCTGACCCACTGAGATAGCTCACTCCTGATCTATGTTGCCTGGTGTCAATACCAAATATTTACACAATCATATACTCTCTTATGTCTGAGCAAATATATGTCTTTATTTTACCACTGATACTGTGAAATACCCAAGGGAAAGAACTCAGTATTATAATTTTGGGGGAATTCCCACTAAAACCACTATAGCGCTGGACTCGAGAAATTCTTGCCGAGTCGAACCAAAGTCAATACACTTTTAATTACTTACATAATCTCAGTCAATCTGATGTGCCAGGGAAGAAAGCCTACTGTGCTCTCCAGAGGACCAAACTTCAATACCACATCAGGATCAGGAAAACCATGTGAACCTTGGAAAGAAAGAAACACACACAAACTTAGCATGCACTGCTTACAAATAAAATAACCAGGGGCAAAATCTGTTCATCAAATTGGCTTCTTATGCTTTGAGTATGAGTTCTCTTCAGACGTTTTATGTATGTTTTCAAACCCTCATCCCACCACCCAACATACACTTTAATATCTATGTTATTTCCAAATGCAGATGTTTTCCCTAAAGTTCATTTAACTGGACTGATTACCTGATAAAGAGGGATAACCCAATTCCCACCCTGAACCCTACAATTAGCCCCCAAACCCCATCTATCTCTTAAGACCCAACTTATGTGTTCTTATGGCATCCTGGGAACCACATAGCTTTAAGGGCACAAATGCTCATTCTGGTCAGAGTCAAATAACTTCAGATAAAAAAAAAAAAATGAAAAAGTATCTCCTCACACCATGGCTGGTATTTCTCAGTGGTTAGAGCACCAGCCTCTGCACTGAAGAGTTTTGAGTTTGAATCTTGGTCAAGGGCACATACCTGGGTTACAGGTTTGATCCCTGATCCCGGCTGGGGCGAGTGCAAGAGGCAACCAACTGATGTGTCGCTCTCACGTCAATGTTTCTCTCTCCCTCTCCCCCTTCCCACCCTCCCTTCCACTTTCTCTAAAAATCAGTGGGAAAATGTCCTAGGTGAGGATATATATATATATTTGGTCTTGTCCCAGTTTCCTGGCACAGAGCTCCCAAAACCCTAGAAATTTCCAGAGTGACAGGGTAAGGAGAGCATCTCTTGTTATTCATAAGCCACTTTCAACCACAGCAGCGTTTATGTTAATGAAGTAACTCTTGTTAGGCCCCTAGATAGCTTCAGGATAGGGGCCAATGGCCAAGGTGATTAAGGGGTTGTAACTTTCAGCCACCAACCTCCAGGTAGGAGAGGAGCTGGAGACTGAATTCAATCAATAATGGCCCATGATTTAATCAATGGTGCCTAGGCATCAGAGCTTTTACAACCCCCTCTAAAGGACAGGATTCAGAGAGCTTCCAGGTTGATAAACACAACGAGAGTGGTGTACCCAAAGAGGACATGGCTACCTGATACCTGTATGACAGGATGCATTAACACCATTCCCACCCCCCACCACAACCTTGTATTTGGCTTTTCCTGAGTTGTATCCTTTGTAACAAACCAATAAACATAAAGTGCCTTCCTGAGTTCTGTGAGCTATTATAGCAAATTATCAAAACTTAGGAGGGAGTCATGGGACTCCCCTATTTATAGTAGGTTGATCTGAAGTACAGGGGGTCAGAGAATTGCCACTGGCATCTGAAGGGGGGGGAAGTCTTTCCTGACCAAGTCCTTAACCTTGGTAGAAGCCAACACTATCTCTGAGTGGTTAGTACTGAAATTAAATTGAATTGCTGGACACTCAGTTGGTGTCTGGAGAATTAGAAAATTCATTGTTGGTGTAGAAAAACATCCCAGAGGAAGAAAGGCTAACAAGCAGAAGTCTTCTTTTTAAGAATCTCCATCACTCCTCCCCGGAATCCTCTTAGGGTCTCTCCTTTACCAGTCAGTCCTCATGCAAGCGAGTTGACTACAGATTTCATTATCTCAAAACCAATTTCACATAGGATCTTAACCTTTAGAAACATAACACGTATAAGAACAACAAATCAGGCTTTCAAATGTGAAAGTACCCCAGATATTCTTCTTCATACTGTGTATTTGTGGGGCAAAACTAAAACCAAATATACATGACTTACTAAGTAAATTGTCTAACATTTGCACATCCAAATCTGTGGATTTCTTTTGCTGCTGGGCTACTAACTGGCAAAATTCCCGAGCAGCTCGCACAATATCTGCTTTTCCATCCTCTGGGGACAGGACCTTCACTGCCGACTGGTAATTTAAAACTGGAGAAAAACACAAACAAGACATTAAAAAAAAACACCCTCTTCCAGATATACTACAAAATCAGTTTCAAGATATATTAAGTTCAGACTAAATAAAGGCACAGTGCTTATGGCAAACAAGAATCATTTAAGCCCGTCAATTTACATATCGAAAGATACTTCAACTACTTTCCTCTGAAAGGACCCACGCGTCACATTTATGTATGTGTTTATATACTACCTTCTTTGTATTTTTTTATTTTTATTTTTTTGTAATTTATTATTTTTTTCATTTTATTTTTGTTATAGATGTTTCTCCTTTTTTTACCCCCCATTGACACCCTCCTCCCCATCACCTCCACCCCGTTCCGGACTTTGTTGTCCATGTCCATTGATTATGCATACATGCATATAAGTTCTGTGGTTTATCTCTTCCCACCCCCCCACAACCCCCTCTTCTGAGGGGTGTCAGTCTGTACCCTACTTCCACATCTCTGGGTCTACCCTATTCCTCAGACTGTTATGTTCATTATATTCCACAAATAAGTGAGATCATGTGGTATTTGTTTTTTTCTGCTTGGCTTGTTTTGCTTAGGATGATACTTTCCAGGTCCCACCGTGTCATCTCAAAGGATAAGAGATCTTTCTTTCCAACAGCTGCATAATACTCCATTGTGTATATGTACCACAGCTTTGTTATCCATTCGTCTACTGATGGACATTTGGGCTGTTTTCAGATCTTAGCTATTATAAATAGTGCTGCTACAAACATGGGGTACATATATTCTTTCTGATTGGTGTTTCAGGCTTCTTAGGGTATATTCCTAGCAGTGAGATCACAGGGTCAAATGGAAGTTCAATTTTTAATTTTTTGAGGTAACACCATATTGTTTTCCATAGTGGCTGCACCAGTCTGCATTCCCACCAGCAGTGTACTAGAGTCCCCTTTTCTCCACACCCTCGCCACTTGTTTGATAATTTCTTGACGGCAGCCATTCTGACAGGTGTGAGAATTTTTTGTGAGCCATTCACTGTTGTTTTAATTTTCATCTCGCTGATGATTAGTGATGTTGAGCATTTCTTCATGTCTCTTGGCCATTTGTACATCCTATTTGGAGAGGTGTCTATTCAGCTCCTCTGCCCATTTTTTAATTGGGTTCTTTGTCTTCCTTTTGTTGAGTTGTATGAGTACTCTTTATATTTGGAAAATTAACCCCTCATCTGATGTATCATTGGCAATTATGCTCTCCCATATAGTGGGTTGCCTTTCCATTTTGATGTTTGTATCTTTTGCTGTGCAGAAGCTTTTGAGTTTGATGTAGTCCCATGTGTTCATTTTCTCCTTTGTTTCTGTTGCCTTAGGTGATGTGTCAGTAAAAATTCTGCTGCATATGATATCCGAAATATTGCTGTCTATATTTTATTCTAGAATATTTATGGATTCACGGGTCACATTTAAGTCTTTTATCCATTTTCAGTTTATTTTTGTGTATGGTGTAAGTTGATGGTCTAGTTTCATTTTTTTGCATGTAGCTGTCCAATTTTCCCAACACCATTTATTAAAAAAGCTGTCTTTACTCCATTGTATGCTCTTGCCTCCTTTGTCAAATATTAATTGAGCATAATGTCTTGGGTCATTTCTGGGTTCTTTATTCTATTCCACTGGTCTATATGCCTGTTTTTGTGCCAGTACCAGGCTGTTTTGATTACAGTAGCTTTGTAGTATAACCTGATCTGGTATTGTGATCCCACCTACTTTGTCCTTCTTTTTCAAGATAGCTGTGGCTATTTGGGGTCTTTTTTGGTTCCATATGAACTTTTGAAGTATTTGTTCTAGTTCTGTGAAATATGTCATTGGTATTTTGATGGAGATTGCATTGAATCTATAGATTGCTATGGGTAATATGGACATTTTAATGATGTTAATTCTTCCAATCCATGAATGAGGTATGTGCTTCCACTATTTTATATCTTCCTCTGTTTCTTTTCTCAATGTCCTGTAGTTTTCTGCAAATAGGTCCTTTACTTCTTTGGTTAAGTTTATTCCTAGGTATCTTAATTTTTTTGCTGTGATGGTAAATGGGATTGTTTTTTCAGTTTCTCTGTGAGTTTATCACTGGTGTATAAGAATGCCATCGATTTCTTGATGTTAATTTTGTATCCTGCTACTTTGCCAAATTCATTTATTAAGTCTAGTAGATTCTTGATGGAGTCTTTAGGGTTTTCTATGTATAACATCATGTCATGGGCAAATAATGATAGTTTCACTTCCTCCTTTCCAATTTGGATCCCTTTTATTTTTTCTTCATGTCTGATTGCTGTGGCTAAGACTTCCAGTACTAAGTTAAATAAGAGTGGTGAAAGTGGGCATACCTGTCTTGTTCCTGTTTTCAAGGGAAATGCTTTTAGTTTCTGCCCATTGAGGATGATGTTGCCTGCAGGTCTTTCATTTATGGCCTTTATGATGTCAATATATGATCCCTCTATTCCCACATTCCTGAGCGTTTTTATCAGAAACGGATGCTGAATTTTGTCGAATGCTTTTTCAGCATCTATTGATATGATCATGTGGTTTTTATTCTTCATTTTGTTTTTGTAGTGTATCACGTTCATTGATTTGTGAATATTGTACCAGCCTTGCATCCCTGGGATGAATCCCACTTGGTCATGGTGAATAATTTTTTTGATGTATTGCTGGATTCGATTTGCTAGTATTTTGTTTAGGATTTGGGTGTCTATGTTCATCAGGTGTATTGGCTTCTAGTTTTCTTTCTTGTAGTGTCTTTTTCTGGTTCTGGAATTAGAATTATGCTGGTCTCATGAAATGAATTTGGAAGTGTTCCTTCTTTTTGAATTTTTTGAAATAGTTTGAGGAGAATGGGTGTTAGTTCTTTTTTGAATGTTCAGTAAAACTCCCCCGTGAAGCCATCTGGGCCTGGGCTTTTGTTTGTTGGGAGAGTCTTGATTACCTCTTCAATTTCTTTTGTTGTTATTGGTCTGTTTAAGTTTTCTATCTCTTTCTGGTCCAGTTTTGGGAGACTATGTGTTTCTAGAAATTTGTCCATTTCACTTAGATTGTCAAATTTGTTGCCACATAATTATTCATAGTAGTTGTTAACAATCTTTTGTATTTCTGTGGTGTCAGTTGTTACTTCTCCCCTTTCATTTCTGATTTTGTGTATTTGGCTTCTCTCTCTTTGTTTCTTGGTGAGTCTAGCTAAGGCTCCATCAATCTTGTTTATCTTTTCAAAAATAGCTCTTTGTTTCCTTGATCCTTTGAATTGATTTTTTGGTCTCCATGTCATTTATTTCTGCTCTGATCTTTACTATTTCCTTCCTTCTACTTGCTCTGGGGTTTTCTTTTTGTTTGCTTTCTAGTTCTTTAAGTTGTGAGGTTAGATAGTCTATTAGAGATTTTTCTTGTTTTTTGAGGTAGGCCTGTAGTGCTATGAACTTCCCTCTCAGAACTGCTTTCTCTGCATCCCATAGATTTTGTGTTGTTTTGTGTTCATTTTCATTGGTTTCCAGGAAGTTTTTCATTTCTTCCTTGATCTCCTCAGTAACCCATTCATTGTTTAATAACATGCTATTTAGCCTCCACGTTTTCAAATGTCTTTTGCATGTTCTTGTTGCAATTGATTTCTAGTTTCATGTCATTGTGATCTGAGAAGATGCTTAATATGATTTCAATCTTCTTAAACTTGTAGAGATTTAGTTTGTGTCCTATCATGTGGTCTATCTTTGAGAATGTCCCTTGTGCACTTGAGAGGATGTGAATTCAGTAGTTTTGGGGTGTAATTCTCTGTAGATATCTATTAAATCAATTTGGTCTAGTGCTTCATTTAGAGTCTCTGTTTCCTTGCTAATTTTTTGTCTAGAGGATCTATCCAGTGATGTCAGAGGGGTGTTAAAGTCCTCTGCTATGACTGTATTCCTGTCTATTTCTCCTTGGAAGTCCTCCAGAAGATTTTTAACATATTTTGATGCTTCTATATTGGGTGCATATATGTTTATCAAGTTTATATCTTTGCCTTCTTTGTCTCTAGTTATGGCCTTCATTTTGAAATCTATTTTATCCGACATGAGTATTGCTACCCCAGCTTTTTTTTCCTTTCCGTTTGCTTGGAAGATTTTTTTCCATCCCTTCAGCTATGTGAGTCTTTTGTTGTGTGGTGGGTCTCTTGTAAACAACATATGGATGAGTCATGCTTTCTTATCCAATCAGCCACTCTGTGTCTTTTTATCGGACAATTCAGTCCATTTACATTTAAGGTGATTACTGATATGTACTTATTTATTGCCATTTTTGTTTAGTTTGGTTATATTTTTCTTCCTATTTCTCCTACTAATTACAACAGTCCTTTTAACATTTCTTGCAGTGCTGGTTTGGTGCTAATGTATTCCCTTTGCCTATTTTTGTCTGGAAATCTCTTTATTTGATCTTCTATTTTGAATGATAACCTTGCTGGGTAGAGTAGTCTTGGATTCAGATCCTTGTTTTTCATGACCTTGATTACTTCATTATACTGCCTTCTTTTTAAAGTACTCAGAATGACCTTGTATCTGTGAATAAATCCTCTAGCAATAGGAATTCTAATTATAGGGTAAATTACAATTTGTATAAGTCTAAAATGACATCTATAATCATAGTACAATTAGAGTGACACAGGATCAAAGACAAAAATGTTTTAATGAAATATGCATTCTATAACACAAACCCACCTTATCAAATTTATGATTCTATCAAAGCTGTTTAAAAAACTGATAGTATTCTTTCTAGATAAGTGATAGCCATGCCAAATTATTGTCTATAGAGGTTCCCGCCAACCTCACATAGAAACCAATTCAATATTCCTGACCTAGTAAATGTGTCTGTTCTTTGGATTCTCTTTTGAACCGGTTAAAATTTGCCTGGTTCCTGGTAGCTTATGAGTTAAATAAAATCTTTAACGTGTTTATTTATTTTTTAATATCTATGAAAGTCATGATTTTATCTTTTTCTCAAAATTATCAACAAAATGAAGAAAATCTAAATCTAATGATTCAAGATGGTGACAATAAAGACTAACAGTGACATCAGTGACATGAATGACTATATGAATGAGTGACATATCTGCCTATGTCAGATGTTCAATTTTACATTCAAGCTTACCTTGATCATCTTTGTCATTACTATTTGCAAACTCTGTTGAATATTTGGAACAATCTAAGCCCAGAAGTTCCTGCTGTTGTTTTAAAATTTCATCCATCAATCTGGAATTATTTCTTTTGAAAATACCTAAAAAAAAAAAAAAAAAAAAAAAAGCAAGTAAATCCCAACCAGGGTAATTTAAGCTCTTTAATAGTTAGTGTATGTTTGCTGTGTAAACAATGCTGGAGCCAGAACTGAACAAATTCCAAATGAAAAGTGATAACTAATTTTAAACTAGAATCTGAACGGAAATTATAACAACAAAACTTGTTAATACAAGAGCATGGCTTCAGGCTAAAGTCAAAAACAACAAAACAGAGATAACTACTTGGTATATAAATATAAATATGATAGAAATTTAGACCTAGAAGAAATTTTAAGACATCATTTATTTGACAACTTTACTTACAGATTATGAAACCGAAACCCAATGTCCTTAAGGGTCTTGTCCATGAATTTATAAACTGCAGCAATGGTCTAGAGTCCATATCTTCCAGACTCCCAGACTCCCAGCCTCGTGTAATTCCCTTGCATATTTGCTATGCACATTCAAAACTATAACCTCAATTTGACGAGTTTTTTTAATGGTAAGAGGGACTAATATGAATTATGTAAAAAGCAGAAAATAAATAAAACTAACAAAATTTAGTAAATTCAGCCCTAGCCAGGTAGCTCCATTGGTTAGAGCATCATCCTGATATGCCAAGATTGTGAGTTTCATCCCCGGTTAGGGCACATACAAGAATCAACCAATGACTGCATAAATAAGTGGAACAACAAATCCATGTCTCTCTGCGTCTCTTTCTCTTCCCGCTCCCTCCCTCCTCTCTAAAAAATTTAAAAGAAAAAAAGAAAAAATAAATAAATTTTGTAAATTCAACAAAGTATGGAAAGATATCAAATAAATTGTTTTTGATCCTCCAACCATGAACAGAAAAGTTAAAACTTCTAACTATCATGTCATCAAGAAGGATGAAGGAACTAACTATGTGACATATATTAAATGTAAAACTAATAATTCTAACTAAAAACAAAAGATAATTTTGGGCTATTTTCAGAAAAGCCTACCTTCTAGTAGCCATTGCGCCTTTTAGCCTTTACCAAGTGTTCCTCTCAGTCAGATATGATTTTAACACAGTTCAAAGAGTAACTGGGAGAGAGAGAGCATAGTAAATATATAAAATTAGCACAGAAGCTGCTGAATATGCTGTATATAAATGCCAACTTGGTAGTGTAATAGCAGTTCAACGACAAAAGCAGTCTCCATTGCTAGGGGAAAGGTTTTGTAAAATAAGCAAGACAGGAAAGAAGAAAATGTAAATGAGAAAATGCTTAAGAAAAAACACGAAATGCTCAAAGGCAGGCAAATGCTATTGGTGCAAAGGATCTGAGAAAAGGGGCAAGGAGATGGACCTAAGTTGTATTTCATTTTGTCTGCTCAATGGGTAACAAACAATTTCTGAGCAATGTGGAATGTATAGAAATTTATTTCTTCAGGAAAACTAACCTGGTAACAGTACAGAAAAGGCCAGTAAGCAGACTACTGCAGAAGTCTATACATACTTTGATGAAGAAATGGAAAAGGAATCACTACAAAGTAAGAACTGGTAGAATATAGAGTATAACTTAATTTGCGGTGAATATAGAAATTTCCATGGCTTTGATCCTTGGTAACAGAAAATGCAAACATCTTTTTTAATAGTAAAGAAATTCTATGAGGAGAACTGGTTTGAAGGAAAAAAACAAGTTTACCTTTACATAGCTGATGAAAGACTATTTAGATAAGGGTTTATTGTAAAAGTGATTAAGAGACACCAGGGAAGGATGTTCAAATGGGGTAGTCATAATAAGCACCACATGGGTAGGAATCTTACCTGTTTTGTTTACTAGGAGTTAGCATAGTGCCTGGTACAGAACAGACACTCAACAAATAAACACCAGAGACTGCCTGAGGAACTGGGAAAGGCCTCTTTAGGGGTGAGTGACTTTTCAGTTGGCCCCTGAGAATTAGGAGAATTTTCTAGGTGTGGGGCTGGGAAGGTAACGACACAAAATAGAGAATATAGATGTAGATATATACATTTCGGAGTCATCCTCCTTAAGGTGAGGGCCATACACACAAGAAATAATAAATAAAATTACCAAAGGTAAAAGAGTATACATGGAGAAGAGCAGGGGGCTAAGAAAGTGGCTCCATAAAAAAGTCCACAATCATTAAGACTCTAAGCTGGGGAAGATAAAGAAGACCATTTTAAAACACCTGTGTCCAGAGCAAGATTAAACACAACAAATAATTTATCCCCCAACTCAAAGAAAATTCTTAAGGTGATTAATATCAAGAGTTATCTGAATAACAATGTTTAGAATAGTAATATCTGTGTAGTAATACAGATGTATAGGATATAATTATCCTCAAGTCAATAATAAAATTCACATGTATGATACAAAAACAGCATGAAAATTTTTGATACAGGCTTACAACTGTCACAAGATTTCCAATTACCTACGCAAGTAAAGAAAAAAAAAATTAGACCATACTTTGGTCTATGTTATAGTTATAGACTGTGGAAGGCATACAAATTTCAAAATTTTCTTAATTTAAAAACAGCAAATTTTTACAACACTACTGCCAGGACATAAGAGTTTCTTTAAAATAAAATGTTAAACAAATCTATTTACCTCCAGATTAAAATGGGAAAGCTTTTAGAAACTCTTGCTCTCTCCAATGCAATGGATGACATTCATCAGCAAAAGGGTCGCAGCCTCTTCTCAATCTTTATTTTTCCTCCTAAACCTTTCTGAAGCAGTAACACTAATGACCACCCTGCTTCCTTTTCAGAATCCTATCCTTAGTCAAGCTTGTCTGAATGTCCTCTCCTGGTTCAATCCTGTCTGCTCCTTGAATGGTCCCTTCTAATGCTGCACTGCAGGCTTTTCCCCTTTCCAACACCACCCCCCACCCCGTCCCATCCCCAGGCCAGGCCTCTCTGTCTGTCCAAGCACTCCTCCTTCTCTAATCCTAGTTACTCACGGGATTTTAAAACCACCCAGGACCAGGACAGGGTAAGATGAGTGAGGTAAAAATTTTTTTTTTTTTAATATTTTGTTCAGATAGAGTGGGGGGGGGGGGGAGAGAGAGAAACATCGATGTGAAAGAGACACATCGAGTGGTTGCCACCCTCACGACCCAACCAGGGCCAGGGACAAACTGCAACCGAGATACATGCCCTTAGTGGGAACCGAACCCGGGTCTCTCTGGACCGCAGGCCGACGCTCCAACCGCTGAGCCAAACTGGCCAGGGCGAGTGAGGTAAATTTTAAGGGGGGTGCCCAAAACTCAGTAATTAAGATAAATAATAATCACGCATTATCTTTAAAACCTAAAAGTAATGCAAAACATCCATGATAAATAAAACATTAAAATTTTAAGTAAAAAACAGGATTAGCATTTGGTTCCTGTATTATTCAGTTCATTCAAACATCTAATCCTACCTAAAAGTTCTATAAGTATCTGAAAATGAACATGTCTAAAATGCAGCAAAATGTCTAAAATACAAATTCTCAAGCACTTGTATTACATCAAATAAAAAAAGGGGGGGTGAGGGGAGTGAAACTTATATGCACTGAGGGACAAGGCCTGGAGAGAATAGGCAATATGAGAACTATAAGGGTGATGGGACAACAGGTGACTTAAAATCAGAACGGCTGTTTTTATAATTAATAAATAAAAAGCATAGCCCTTTTTGTTCCATTTCTAATAAATGTATCACTACCTGCCCAGTCACCTCAAGCATCTGCTCTACTCTCCAGCATTATCACCACCACTCTGTGGCCTAGTAACATGCAGAACATGCATATACTCTTCTATAGCAATGCTTCCTATACTCATTTCCTTCTGTCCATTGTCCCCATTGTTTCAAGCAAGTCTTCTTTATAATATTACAATCACCTTCTAAGGTGTCTTTCCTGCCCCTTCTCATGTATTGCTAGACTGACTATAAGATTAATGTTCGCTGGGTATATCTTCATCCTGGCACATTCCAACTTTAACATCATCAATGGCTTCCCAAATACTGAATGTATTCAGAACAAGCTGCTCAGATCAGCATTAACATTCCAGTCTATGCTTCTACATTTGGTGGGTGGAAATAATTTATATTTTTGAAATGAGTCTTTCTATTTCTCTGTAGTACTATATTGCCAGCAAGTCAGATTGCCTTATATTCCTCCAAAAACACAGGAAGCAACACCAACCTCCATCCTTTGTTACTGATGCAGCCCCACACCTATAAAATTCTCCTAATTCTTCACAAACCAGCTGAAAAGTCACGTATCCTCAATCTCCCAGCCAGATGTGCCCCATTCCTCCTGACTCTCACCCCTCCAAATAAAGCACATTTTGTTCAAACTCTTTAACAGACCAATAGTCTACATTTTATTAGTTATAGCTTAACCCCCTTCCCCCACACTAAACTGTGAACTTGTGTCTTACTCATCTCTTCCCTCAGAGCACCTTCCACACAGCAGGAGTTCAATGTTCATTTAATAAACTAAATTTCAAAGCACAAAATGCCAACCTAACAACAAAACCTAAATGAACATGTCAATGAATGGAATGTTTTTAAAGTTTCCAGGAACCTCTCACGATAAAAGCAGATACTTCATTACTGCACACAGGCAGAAATTCTGTTAAAAAGGAAGATTATTACACAGAGACATAGTTACACAGTATCTTTTATTAAGACTTTCGTGAAGTTATTTTAAACAGAACCTTTGGCCCAGCCGGTGTGGCTCAGTGGTTGGGCATCAACCCTGCACCAAAATGGTCGCCAGTTTGATTCCCGGTCAGAGTACATGCTCAGGTTGTGCGCCAGGTCCCCAGTGAGGGCATGCAGGAGGCAGCCCATCGATGTTCTCTCTCATCGATGTTTCTATCTCTCTCTCTCCCTTCTTCTCTCTCTAAAATCAATAAAGAAAAATAAATAAATAAATAAAAATAAATAAATAGAACCTTTGTCTTGGCTGATTTGGATAAAGAGATGAAATAAAAAAAAGTACAGTGTTTGAGATATACTAAACGTGTAGAT